TTCAATTTCTTCATCTTTGGCCTTAGTGGTTGGTGTGTAAATTTGAATAACAGTCGTATTAACTGGTCTTCCTTGTAGGTGTACGGATATTGTCCTATCACTGAAAGTGTTGTATTTCAGGATAGATCTTGAAATGTTCTTTTTGACGATGAATACAGTGCCATTCTCTTCAATTTGTCATTCCCAGCAGAGCAGACCATATGATTGTCTGATTCAAAATAGCCAATATCAGTCCATTTCAGTTCACTCATGCCTAGGATATCTATCTTCAAGCATTCCATTTCATTTTTGACAACTTCCAATTTTCCTAGATTCATACTTCATACATTTCACGTTCCGATTATTAATGGATGTTTGCAGCTGTTTCTTCTCATTTTGAGTCCTGCCACATCAGTAGATGAAGTTCTCGAGAGTTTGACTCTATCCACGTCATTAAGGTCGACTTTACTTTGAGGAGGCGGCTCTTCCCCAGTTGTATTTTGAGTTCCTTCCAACCCGAGGGACTCATCTTCCAGCACTATATCAGACAATGTTCTGCCGCTATACATAAAGTTTTCACTGCCAGTTTTTTCAGAAGTAGATCATCAGGTCCTTCTTCCCAGCCTGTTTTAGTCTGGAAGCTCTGCTGAAACCTCTCCACCATGGGTGACCCTGCTGGTATTTGAAATACTGGTGGCACTGCTTCCAGCATCACAGTAACACACAAGCCACCACAGTACAACAAACTGACAGGTGAGTGGTGGCAAAAAGTCATAGCTGTTGAAAGGTCATGCCACTGAAAACCCCTATGGAGCCCAATTCTTCTCTGACACTGATGAAGTGGCCATGAGTTGGAATGGATTCAACAGCCATGGGTTTGTTTTCTTTCATTTTTGATTTAGCCATAATTATTAAGCAGTGCTGTTTGGATCAGGAAATATTAGACTTTCAACTGAACCAATGCTCAAATGATTTAGAGAAAATTTAGAAAAAGCCTTTATAGTGTCCAACGGGGGCCCTGGTGGTGCAGTGATTAAGAGCTCAGGCTGCTAACCAAAAGGTTGGCAGTTCGACTCCACCAGCCGCTCCTTGGAAACCCTGTGGAGCAGTTCTACTCTGTCTTATAGGGTCGCTATGAGTCGGAATCAACTTGACGGCAACAGCTTTTTACAGTGGCCAACATAATGGCCCAGGCAATACTGATATTTTTATATGGACGTGAGCATTCATCACATAAGGACTTCTACATTATGGATTTTCCTCACTAATATTTAAGCTAAAATTTGTACAAGGATACATATTTCTCTTACTGTTGAGAAGTCTGTTTTTTATTTTGTGAAAATACAAGTAAATTTCATTTTTACATAATGTATTTCTATAAATGGAGGTCTTCTCAAATGGCTATATGTTTCAGCATTTGGAAACTCTTTTTCCTTTCTTCATAAGTTTGGAGAACGTGGTCCATAAATCTTATGAATCCCATCACTCTCCTTTACTATTCATTTTAAGAGTACTTTGGTTTCCCAAAATATTCAAGAAAGCATCTAGAGACTGCAATTAAGCCCTATATACTGGAAATGTTTTTCTCCTTTTGCTTTATTTTCCATATTTTCATTTACCATGCCATCTCCACACAACTTTGACTTAAAAAGCTGATCAGCCATATGCTCTATGCATATGAATAGTTGTGTGGGATACCTTGTTTGCGCTAAAATGAAATAATAGATTTGAAAGTACTTTGAAAATTTAAAAGCACTAAACACATTAAGCTGTAATTATACAAATGTGAGTGCAACATGTTTATTTATTAGGAATGTGGAAATGGGGGAGAGTTTCAGAACTTCTGGGCTAATGAGTCCAATTTAGAATTATAAGCTAGAGAAGCTATGTTTACAGCATGATAGGAAACTCATTGTTTAGATGTGTTTACATCATTATACTCAGTGGTTAAAAAAAAAATGCCATTAATGTTGAACTCAGTTTTGCTTCTCACATATACATTTAAGACAATTTGATGCGAGAACATAGCTTATACCAGAATAAAAGCAAACAATGGCCAAAATATTTACAAACCCCCTGTATTCCAAGAAAGGTATTTTTAATATTGGTTCAAACTGAAAACAAGTAATTAAACATCACTCTAATATTACCTTTTAAATAAATATTTTCTAACAAATGCAATAGGTGGAACGGATATTAAACTTATCTCAATTTAACTTTAAGCACTGATTTTCTAAGTTAGGCAACGTACCCCCAAAACATCTGTTGAGCAGACATTAAGACAAAACTCCTATGAACTATTGCAGCCACCAAGAAGTTAGTTTCCGGCCTATGGCTAGAATTCCAAATCACTCCAGTGGGGATTTAGCCAAACTTGAAGAAGTAGAGGAGTGTCTGAGAACCTGAATCTGTCCTGATAATTTTCTCTTTCCTGGATTTTCTCTTTTTTGTAGGTAAAGAAAAAAAGCTTGAGGGTGGACTTAATGCCTTTTAGTGGGAAACAGGAAGAGATTGGTTATGCAAGCTTTAACCAAGCTAGAGTAAGCCTCTTGGGAGAAACTCCTTGGGAAAGAACTGCAGGAACTGAACTCTTCCTTGGAAGGAGGCCTAACTAGCTGCTCCTTGCAGGAATTTTAATTGCTAATTCTTTAGGAAGACCTAACTTTATTGGCTAAGCACAGACCTTCAGGGAGGAGTGTGGTCTGGAGAGAGGATGACAGGTCTTTAAAAAAGCAAATAGACTTCAGAAATTATAGCGAACGATCAAAAAAGGAAGAAAAAGAAAAAACACGAATTGAGTATTTTTTGAGTGCTAGAAAAGTCACACGAATCGAAGCGCTCAATAATACAATTACCAAGTATTTTATATTTTGATAGGTTAACATGCACCATTTTTAAGGGGCACACATTCATTCCTCCACAATTTTTGGCATTGCCAAACTAGGGAAAACTCTTAAAACAAACAAAGAGCTACAATTAACACAACCTAAAGAGTTGCAATCCCAGAATCCCTTTTTCTTATTGATCAGATTCCTGTAGTGCCACATCCTATTTACTTTGCAGCAAATGTGCTGTGTTGAGCAGCAGGATTTTAGAAAGCTTGCAGTAAGCTCCTGGTTGCTGATGGAGGCCTATGTCTCTTATCAGTCATTCGATCATTGTTAGTCGTATGCATGGGGAAATAAGCACATTCACACAGACCCTGCATAGCTCACCACAACCCATCAACCTGCTGATCTCACTCTTCTTTCTGCTTTTGGGCTCTCCTCACCCGGCCAGATAAAAGTCCATTCAATTTTTCCAAGGCAAGACAATTCCAGACAGACATGCACTCCAATGGGAGTGACAGGGAAAAGATTTGAGGTATCCAGAAGGCCATACTTCCCTACCTTGTGAACCTCATGAAGAAAGTAAGGGAACAATCTTGCTAAATTACTTCTGAGTGTTCACAAATAGGCATAAGAGTAATTTCTCTTTGAAGAAACTGTACTATTTGGAAAAATTAAAAAAAATTATTTGAGCAACTGAGATAGGTGATTCTGTTACTGAAGCTAACACAATCAACAGCTAATGCTCATAACAAACTACCTTCCCTTACTCGGGCAGAAAAAGGTTCAGAGAAGACCCAGTTTATCTTACTACATAAAGACCACATGGTTCAAGGTTAAAACAAACTATGCCTCTGAAGTATCGTCATTAAAGCAATTTAACTACATACATGGTCCACAAATACTAACAAATAGCAGGGAATATATAAAGGGACAGTTTGGGGAAAAAAGCTTTCAGACTCCTTATTTAAAGGGAACATCGATGAAATTAGTAATATGGATTAAAAGACAAAACCTAACAACTGAGGAAGGGAAAATCACTCTTTTCTTGTCTCCCGCACGTTTTCCATCTTCCTTCAATAAAAGATTCCCCATAATCCTCCCAAATTGCCATTCCCTGCACAAAGAACTCTGAGAATAATTCAATATTGAAAGAGGTGAAGAGAGATACAATATCCCAGGCCCTGTCTTCAGGGCATTTGTAGGCAGAACAGCCATGGTTTCCAGAACATTCTCTTCACATTTTTCTTTCGTGAGCTGCGGCACAAAATGTTTACCAAAGGCTTTTAAAAATGGAATCTCATCAAACAGTTGAGAAAAATATTTAACATCCAGGCAAAGCAATTATAGTCAAATTTTCACCTCGAGACTCATCTCAGGTGTGGGAGGTAGAGAGAAGCCTCTTGGCACATCAGTCTGACCCTAGAATGAGGATGAAAAGAGTTGATTCTACCAATTGTTGTCAAAAAATCCACATCATTGAATCTCAGGGCAAAACTGCAGAGCTAGCTGCCCACCTGAATATGCTTTAGTAACAGGCCCCCTGATTGCTTATAGCTGACTCAAGTTTCTGAGTAGTGTTCTGAGGACAGGCCAGACATGGACATCCACACCCACGATTTGGAAAGGACTGAAAGTGACGAATCTCTCTTTCTGAAACAAATCTCTCTGATTTGTTTCACAAGGCATCACCATTTTCACTCAAGGCAACAACATAAGATGATGCAACTAGTCCCAGTAGCACAATTCTATACAACTGTGTAAACTTGGTAGGAAATTAAAAACATTACATTGAGTCAATACTACCCCCCAGCATCTGCCCTATCAACCAATTTACATTTTATAATCTCGACTTTTATTATTCATTTTCTTTATGAATTGATTCTTACACAGTATCATTCCCTTTAGGGGAAAGACTTTCTGGGTGCAATGAGATCAGACTTCTCTTCTTCAGGATGAATGGAAAACAAGGGTATGTATGCACATAACAAGGGTATGTATATCCATTGTATTCCCAGAAAGGCCTGTTTCAGTCTAGCTCAAGGGAGCAGGGAATGAAAGACACAGCATACATTGGTAAAATTCCTGTTAGGTATGGTCGATAAGCAACCATAGTAAGCTACATGTTCAACATTAGAAGGCATTTCTTGATAGGGGTGGAAGGCAAAACATCACAGAAGCATAATACCTTACCTGGGCCATCTGCCTCTCCAGTTTTGATCGGGGAATATCATCAAAGTAGTTTTCATTTCTTCTCCTCCTTGCATCACCCTGCATGATAATGTGAGGAACGTCTAGGGAGCCACCAGTGGTGTAAGTGCTTTGGCTAAGTGATGGAGACAACTGAGGAGGAGTGTGATTACCACTGGGTTCCTGAATGGAAATACATCATGAAATAAATATCATGTCCTTGAGGCTAACCTTTGGTTTCAATACTGTGAAATACTGACAAGACAAACCGTGGGGTGGGAGTCATTTTTGAATCAACTGACAAGGATTTGATGACGTTCCACCACTTTATTAATGGCATGATCTAGTCCACACTTTCCCCCCTAAATATTTCAGGTCAAAAGTTTAAAGTATAAAGAATCAGGCTCTGTTTTCTTAAGGTAGCAATATGAGTGACCTCAGAAGAGACACACGTACACTGGGCACCCTTGACACTATAACGTGTGCTTACAAACAAAGGAACTGCATCTTTATGAGGGGCAGAGTGTCCTCTACATGGTAGATGTCATGAGAAAGCTAAAATGGAACACAAAGGGTGTTGTTCCTCCATCAAAGAGTATCTGGCCACAGGGCAGCAAGAGGACACAGAATGGGAACACAGCATATGACATGTGCAGACCGTACAGCAATGCATACAATGGCAGAGGATGCTTTTCAACGGCAAAGACCACTCAAGCTGCGGGAAACTGGTCAGAAGTAAGATAAGGAGCAGCAGAGAGAAGAGCCCTCGTGTTTGCGAGTAAGAGGAAGACTGGGGTCATGCTGATTTTTTAGGCCACTTTCCCCCTAGATGTTCTACATCTCCTCTAACAGATTAAGCTCCTGCACTTTTTCTTGGGAATCTCCATCTTTGATTTATTGTTCCCTTAAATCCCTTCCAGGTAGTCAGAGGGAGAGGCTCAGAAGCAGAAGGACAGGGAGTAGAGGAAGCAGCATGGATTTCTCCCCCAAAGAGTCATTTTAGGGTGATAACACTGATGATGCCTTTATCCTCCTTCCCTTTCATGCCTTTCTAGCCTCATTTTCTCCCTCAATTTATCTGAGGCTCCTCTTACTGAGGGAGAAGAATGGGTCCTGCTTCTATTCTGACTACTTCCAAAGTCTTCAATATCCTAGGATCCCATCCCCACTCCCCTGCCCCATAATCAATTTTCCTCATGGCTTCCTAGAGCCAATTCGCCTCCATTTCCTAAAATTTTGTGTACGTTCTTCTCCTTCATGACTGCATCAGACTCAAAATCCTACAGGCTCCTCTCCTGTTCTCTCCTAGGCAGTAATGACACTAGTTACGTTCTCTGCTAAAGTCCACTGGTGGTCAGAGGCATCCTACTACATGTATGCTGGCAGTTATGTTCAGTGCCCTGTACTATCACCACCTTCTCTGACATGGGCATGCACAAAGGGAATCAGAAGCAAGCAAGTGCAGAATAAAATAAAGAGGAGAACAGAGAGGGAACTCTCTCCAACTTGTCAGGCAGATCTCAGTTTTTGATGACTTTTAGAAAACTTCTGACACTCCTCATGAAAGTAAGTGACTATCAGCTACTCCTTTTTGCTGTCATTGTTCCTGGCAGTCATTTCTCGAGTTTTCTCATTCTCCCCACCCTTTCCTTTCTGCCCTCTTTCCCCTTCCACTTTATTTCTCTCTCCCTTCCGCAGTTTTTCTCCCCCCAATTAAAAAAATATAGATGAAAAATAGTTTATTAAATAAAGTTTTAGATTTTCTATTCTAACTTTTTGAAGTCAGTAAAAGCAGAGCAATTTTTACATCCTAAAAAATAGAAGACACTGAGGTTAATTTTAAATTGATCTTCTCTTAACTGTGGTCCTTGAGTGATTTTCTCTCTATGCGTTTGAGGAGTTTGATGGAAAACACATTTCCTGACTACTGGCATAGACGGGAGTGAGGCAAGGGAGATGAGGGACTGGTTCTTTAAAGGCAGTGGCTTGTCAGACTGAATTTCCTTAAGGCTGTATATCTAAATCTCAAAAATATGTATTTTAACCAATGGAGAAAAACAAATCTTGTCTTATAAGATGCAGTAAAAAAGGAGAGTGTTTTTGATACAGAGAGGTAAGCTACATGGGAAACAGCCTGTACTTCCTGATCCATTGCTTCAGTTGTTTTATTGCACAAAATAATTTTTTAGGATAAGGGTGGAGAATAAAATGAAGGTGCCTGGCACTTACCCTGAGGGTGATGGACCGTGGGGGCTTCTGTGGAGGGTCGTCGTGTAGCCGGTCTCCCAGAGATGCCAAAATACGTTTCCTGTGGCCAATCAAATTGATTTTTAAAACCTGAAACAACATACATTTGGATTAAATATCTCACTGGGGAAACATCATTCTAATATGTTCTAAAACATCAAGGAGCTAAAAGATTAGTGCAGAGTTGCCTCTGCAGTATGAGAGATATGATGTGCACATCAGTGTAACCCCTCAAATCAAGAAAGGTAGGGCTAGCAGCCAGGAAGTCTAGTGGCAATGTACTAGGGGTAGAAAGAGAAAGCAGGGAAGTTCTCCATTACTTGTTTTGCTAAAGAATCCTACTCTCTACATAGCAGCCACAATGATCTTTGAAAAATGTAAATCAGATCACATCACTAACTGGCTAAAAACTCTCCAGTGGGTTCCTATTGCTCTTAGAATAAAATCTGAGTCCTGCCCTGGCCTCAGGCCCCTACAGGAACTGGGTTCTTTCTCTCTCTTTGTCCCTGCCCTCAGTATGCTCAGTCACACTGGTCTCCTCTGTTCCTCCAACACCTTGCACTCATTCCTGCCTTGGGGCCTCTGCCCTTGTAGTTCATCTGTCTGGAATGTTCCCCCCCAGGTCTCATCACTCTGGACACCGCTCAACTGTTGCTTCCTCAGAAAGGCCTTCCTCAACCTCTTCACTAAGAGCTGTGCCCTCAACTCCCATCATGCTCTACCCTATGATCCTTTTTTTTATCATTCTCTGAAATAACTTTATTTACAGCTTTATTGTTTGGGTCCCTCCTTCACCCTGTAAGCTTCCTGAGAGCAGGGCCCTGGTATATCTTTATCATTACTGTAACCCAAATGCCTAAAGCAATGCTCAAAATAGTAGAAGCTCAATGAACATGAAAGAATGAATGTTAACACAGACGAAAGTAGCAAAATTAGGGTTAGAACACAAGTATTGTTTCCTTAGGGTAGACTCAGTCTACTCAGGATCATATTTTGTGTCTCCCAGCGTGCACAGGGCACACTGTAGAAATGACATCAAAGGGAACTAACAATTACAGAGTACCTCAATTCCTCACCCCATTCCTTGTGCTTTACAAATGCCAAGTCTTTCAATCTTCTCAAAATCCCTATCTGGAAGGGGATATTCTTGTCTTACAGATGAGGAAACTAAGGTTCAGAGTAGTTGGGTAAACCTATTGCCATCGAGTCGATTCCAACTCATAGCGACCCTATAGGACAGAGTAGAATTGCTCCATAGGGTTTCCAAGTAGCGGCTGGTGGATTCAAACTGCTGATCTCTCGGTTAGCAGCCAAATGCTTATCCACTGTGCCACCAGGGCTCCAAGTAGTAGGGTAGCGCACCCAAAAGCCAGTAAATGGTGGTTCTGGGATTTGAATCAGGTTTGCCTGATTTCAAAGGTTGTTTTACTCCAAGGTATAAACTGCAAAGTTTGGGCATTAACACATTACACACCCATTGACAAAAAAATGTACTTACTCCTTTCCCACCCATGTATATTTCTAGGATATCACAACATTTAGTGGGTAACTAGTTCCCCAATATACTACCCATTGTATGAATTACTATTTTTAATTTCTCTCTTTCCAAGTTTTAAGGGGGAGGGGCAGGCATTTCTTTTTTAGTACTCATTGCATGCTACTTAAATTTTTACTAGCCTGTTCAAGAAGCCCTGGTGGTACAATGGTTTAGTGCTCAGCTGCTAACCAAAAAGTCAGCAGTTCGAACCCAACAGCAATTCCATAGAAGAAGAGACCTGGCGATCTGCTCCCATAACGATTACAGCCTGGGAAACTCTATGGGGGCAGTTCTATTCTGTCGTATATTGTCACTATGAGTTGGAATCGACTCGACGGCACAAAACAATTTTTGTCAGTTAACTTTTTGGCCTTTCTGCCTCAATTAAGTAAGATTTTAATCTAGCACTATGTCCGATTCCTTTTATGTCCACCCTCTGTTACACTGTTTGATGGGCATTTGACCCATGTCTGTTGATGATGATGGGGGTGGCAAATAATAACCAAGGTGAATGTCCCCATGTACTATATGCCCATGATTTTATAAACTCTCAAGGTTCCCAGGCTGATGAACCCTGATCTTTCCATTTTGTTTCACAGATCAAGTTAGTTGACTTTCTTTGTACCTTTTGTACCTATTACAACTGCTTAGGGTATGTTGAATAAATTGTTCACAATATTCCAGGTATAAGTAAACTGTGGCATTACATTTGAATAGAATACTATTCTCTGCTTTTTAATGTCCTCTTTTAAATGCCTTTCCTAAGCACACCTGATTTCTGGCTGGCCTTTTAGTTGTGGTAGGAATAACTACGGAACAAAAGTATACACTAGCTGCAAAGTCTATTAATTTTGTTAAAGCTCATAGTTCAAAATCCTTTGATCTTGGAAGGGTGGTTTGAATGACTTCTCCCTACATTCCTTATCTTACACTTGTCCACACAGAAGCCCAGCTGCCATCCTTCTGCCCACTCATGTGGCCCTGTGTTATTTTTTTGCATTTCTGTTAGCCAGCTTGGCATTTCACTACCTGGAAAAGCTTAGTAGTTTTTGCACATCTGGAAATTACACTATGTACTATTTCTTTCAGACGATTTATAAATATGCTAACTAAGCGTGGTCCCAGTGCTGATGACTTGCAGGCAACATTGTTTGTAAGAGTCAGAGAAATGCTCTTACATTGCATTGTTTCTTTTTTTTTCAAGGCATGAAGCTCAAAGAATTCCCCCATCTGAGAAAAATACAACATTAACCTTTTCAAATGCCTTCTGTAAGTCTAAATATACTTCATTTTCTTATTCCCCTTTATTCTTATTCTCAATTACTTTGCCAAAGGTTTCTATTAGATAGAATAGAATATAATTGGATAGGAATATAAAAACTCTACAGCCTTTCCCCCAGTAGGTTATTGGACCTGATGCTGATGGTCCTATCTTGGGCCCCTGAGTCCTACTAAGAAATGTTTTTTTTTAAAAAAAGGTAATAAAGATATTCAACATTACTTGACAAATAATGATGCTAAATAACAAATGACTGTGGTAAAATTTAGCTGGCGTACCATCACTGCTGCTTTGGGTTTACTCTCCCACAACTCAATTTTGGGCAAATTACCAAACTCCTCTGATCTCAGTTTCCTCAACTATAAAGTGAAGAACTTAATGCCAATCTCAAATGTTGTCGAGAAGATAAAGAGTTAAATTGCAAGGTCTAAGAGTTAAACCTGTGAGGTGTGCTTTCCAACTAATGGAATCTGAGGATGTGCAGGCATCCTGATCCAGAAGCATGAGGGCTTGGTTCATTTTCATAAAGTTAATCATGTCAAACAAATATGCTGGTGCTTTGCATGAAAAGACTTGGCTAACCTTGGAAAAGTTCACATTGAAGTAGACATATCCCGGTAGGAACAGGTCAGGTTTTTAACAATTAGTTTACTACTAGATCAGATTTAAAGGAATGCATGCTATTCTCCCAACCACACCATTCAATTTCCAATAAGAGGTAACTGAGGCACTTCTCTACACTGGAGCTCTGTTATTGCCTCCTCCACACCAAAAAACCAAACCCATTGTTGTCAAGTTGATTCCGACTCATACGACCCTATAGGACAGAGTAGAACTGTGCCATGGGGTCTCCAAGGCTATAATCTTTATGGGAGCAGACTGCCACATCTTTCTCGCACGTAGCAACTGGTGGGTTCAAACCACCGATCTTTCGGTTAGCAGCCAAGGTCTTTAACCACTGCACCACCAGGGCTCCTTCCCTCCTCCACAGAAGTGCCCAAAGGAGAGGAGAGAGATAGAAAGAGAAAGACAGAGAGAGAAGGAGAGAAGGGGAGAAAAAAATTAACACAGAGTGATGATTCATGTCAAGAACAATCGGGTAAATACCCTTGCTTATTAGAAATGATCCTATATCACAGAAGGTACTGACGATAACAACTAGCACTTACTGAACATTTGCTATGCTGTAGTTCTGTGTTTTGTTGTGCTAGAAACTGCATGTTAGACACGCAAAACCTGGGACTCAGAAACACTGAATGACCTTCCTAAGGTCACACTGCTAACAGCTGTCACAGCTGGGATTGGTATCTGACATTTAACCCGTTCTTTACCACTCGCCATGTTCTTCTTGTTCGTAACCTCTGTGCCTTTCAGCCTTAGCTACACTATTTATCATACTATTGTGATGTTTCTTAAGATAGTGCTTATTTTGAATTATCATGTTTAAAATATTTATATTGGGCCTTGACCATCTGAAAACCTTACAATACAACGTTAGTTTTGGACAAGACCCATAGCAGTGTTAAAGCTACAGGCCACAAGTACACAGGCAGAAACCTCACAGAATGCCCTGTGACATGCATATGTAGATCAACCCAAGACTCAACCCAAGTTGGCTAATAGTGGAATGTTGGAGAGGGTGTCATCTACCTTAAAAGTGCCCAAGTGGGCAATAAAAAAAAAAAAAAAATCCAGTTAGTAAGGCAATAAGGGAAATAATATTCCAAAGAAAGATTGCCAGTATGGAAAAGTCAAATCCAAAGGTAGCTGGGTTTGCCTTGAGTGAGAACAGCTCAATCTGATCATCTTTGGAAGCTGATTCTGTCTCTGAAATAGAAGAATTCTACCACCTAAGGTGCCATGACTGATGAAACCAGTCAACGAACCTTAAGTTTTCAAAAAATCACAGCTATAGTTACCGTGGTAGAGAAAAGTTCTGTAGGGTTTTCATTACAACTTGGGTGAAAGTTAACCTCAAGTACAAGGAACCTAACTGGAGGGGTGCTAAAATATAACATAATGGCAATTTGGGGGGAATTTAGTTATTCGAAGTCATTGGGGCAATTTAATTCAAATAAAAAAAAAATACTAAGTTTTTGCCAATGAATTATTTGGTGCATATGAAGGGGAAACAGAACGAATGGAATTCATAATATTGGAGAGATCAGACAAAAATAACTATATTCTCCAACCATCAACTACGGGAAAATGGATTATTACATAAGCATATGAATGTGGTTCCAACTGCTGAGTTCCAATAGATAAGAAATAAAA